AAGGCCTCTTGTCCCTCGAGAGAATTAACAGTACCTCCCAGTTTGGTATCATCAGCAAACTGTCTAATGGTGCATTCAACTCCTGCATCCAGATCATTGATAAATATATTGAACAGAACTGCCTCTAGAATTGAACCCTCAGGGACACCGCTTGTGACTAGTCGCCAGCCAGATGTAGCCCCATTCACTACAGCCCTCTGAGCTCTGCCCTTCAGCCAGTTCTTCACCCAGCACACCACGAACTTGCTCATGCTACAGCTGGACAACTTGTCCAGAAGGATGTTGTGAGGGACAGTATCAGAAGCCTTACTAAAATCCAGAAAAACTACATCCACTGCCTTCCCTTTATCCGCTAGGCATGTGACCTTATCATAGAAGAGTATCAAATCAGTTAGATAGGACATTCCCTTCATGAACCCATGCTGACTGTGCCTGATGATTGCACTGTCCTTTAAATGCCTTTCACTAGCACCCGTTACAATCTTCTCCATAATTTTTCCAGGTACTGAGGTTAGATTAACAGGTTTGTGGTCTCCTGGTTCTTCCCTCATGCCCTTCTTATAAACTGCAGTAACAATTTTAACAAGGTTAAGTGAAGTGTTACACAAACAGGATGGGTGTGGCCTTGCTGAAGCACAGTTGGTAATAACATTCCCTGCCCCTTCTCTCTCAGCAAGGAAAAGTTGGTCAATGTTGTGTTTAGAGGATGAGAAAACCTCATCACTGCATTTGACTTTCAGCATAGCTTCTGCTGTTCCTCAGCAGAGCTAACACTCCTCTCCAGTCCAGACTTAAATTCAGGACTTTAACTTGCTGTTCTCTTGTTTCTGACAGAGGCAGGTCTCCAGTTGCATCCAGCCACCCACATGCAAAAGCTCCTAAATGTCAAGAAACTTCACTAAAAAAAAGGGAGGGGTCCAGACACATTAAAAACATAGTTAATGAGTCATGATTAAACAGCATCTTTAATGATGAGCAAGAATAAACTGTAAAAAAGCTGTTTTGCATTACACACGCATGACCTTTACCAGAACAGCAGGTAGCTATCAACAGGCCAGAAAACTGAAGAAAACAATGCAACTACTTAACTTTTCAGAGGCTGCACAGGAAGCACAAGGTCCTCATGCCTAAGGAAAACTATACTGCTTCATAACAGAAATCCTACAAATCTGCAGAGGTGGCACAGCCTATACATCCATCCCTTCCAGACAGACCTTCTGGCTCACTTACCTGTTTAGGGTCGACAGTGGCAGCCGGGGACTCCAATTCTATTGTTACAGGACCATCATTCTGGATGTGTACCTGCATGTAGGCACCAAACTTGCCATCTGAAAAAGGAAGAGACAGGAAGTGCTGAGGGCTCTTGGAAGGATAACACATACCAAAATCTTTACCAAATGTGCTACTGAAGAGAAAAAAAATACATAAAAGGACAGCCAACTAACAAACTGCAGAAGGCTACTAAGAAAAAAACAGTCTATATGCACCTAGCTATGTGGTCTGACATTCAGAGATGATAAATACGCAGCTAAGTACAGAAATGTCCACAAAACAAAACAAGTCTACAGATAACCAAGGTGCTCACAGGTCAGGATAGGCAGGATAGTTCTCACAGGCAGGGGATGAAATTTTAAAGGATGTAACAGCTAAGCCTAGGGATCCAGTCCAGCTAACCAGCTGATGTTTTGAAGAAATCCTATATATAAGCAAAAGATAAAAAGACCTGAAGACTACTCTGAGACATTTGACATTGAATACTCTAGAGCAGGGACCATTGGGTGTGCAACTCAGTCCCAATCTGCTACAGCAATTTCTACATTCCTGTTTGCAACTAGGCCGTTCTTTGACAGAGTTTGGCAAAAAGGGTGGAAAAAAAGACAGTGTCTGGTCCCTCAACCCTGCCTACTTCACAGGAATGCACTTCTGAAATCAGAAATGTCTATGTCATTTGTCATCAATGGCATTTATTAGCACACCAGCCGAGGCACAGACCATGTTTTTGGTAAGCATTTGAGAAGTTTCCATCACAATAGACCCATGACATTTTTATGCTGTATAGTCTACAAAAGCCATCCCTTTGTATGCTGTCTTCTCCTCACATCTCATTTTTCTTTGTGCAAATTTCCTTGCTCCATTTTTTTTCTAGTCCAGCTTTCTACTCCTCAAACTCACCCCACCCCTGCCTGAGCCTACTTGATTGCTCACTCCCACATATTCTCTTCTCCTGTCCTGCACACCTGAGTAGCCTTTCTAGACCTTCCTGTAGAGACAGCAACAAGAACAGACACTACCATATCAATACAAATGCACAGAAGAGAAAAAGGTGTACTGCAGCAAGCAGACAGCAGTTATCCAAAGACTGGAACAGTCTCAGTGGGAAGGCAGGCCTGGAGCCTGCTCAGCAACACAACCAAAACCGCTTCCAGTATCACCTCGGACAGTGAGCAAGAACATGCTGAAAGCCATAGGCTCAAACTTCAGTGGAGCAACCACCCACTTGGAATATTTACATGAGACTTTGTCTAGCTACACAGCAGCTTTCCATGGCAACATGCGATGCCCCTGACTGAACAGAGGTCTAACTAAACTGTCCTGATTCTTCATGAACATGTTACTGGGGATGAACAGCTCTGGAAGAGTTTTCAGTCTTTCCCTGTAACATCCTGTAAGTCAGATAGTATTTGCTTAGAAGAAAAACAAAAAAGAAAAGGGATGTTGAGGCCTCTCCAACACATATGGGCCATATCACAACAGATCTACTGCCCAACTGCTTTTCCAAAGGCTGTATGCCACAAGCCACCCCATGAGCTAGAGATACAAGCTCTGACGAAGCCAAAAACTATAGCAGTGCACAAGAGTCTGCTGGCAATGGTCCACCAGCCAAGGAAAAGGTTCCTGGACTGATCACTGAAGAGTCACAGCAACAGAAACGCCAATGGGAAGGGGGCAAGAGCATGATTCGAGGAAGTATTTCTATAAAAAGGAATGTGATTTACTGAACAAAATGCTGCACAATTTTACCAGCTGCACTCCTCAGACATTTTCTGCCCCACAGAGGAGGTGGCAAAAAAGAACACGTGCCCAGTGTCCCAGCTCACTGTCTCTACACGGGCTCCTTTGATCAAACTGACCTTCTTCAATGTTTCAGGTGGGCTGACAAACGTTATGGGTGTTGAATCTAGAAGCCTGACAAAGGCATGGCTGCCACAGCTGCACACCCCCAGGTCCAAAGAGTGGCAAGGCTGAGTGTGTATTCCCGGTAGGCACACACGCAGAAACACGTGTATGCTACACACACACACACACACAGAGCCAGCTGCACAGATACCAACACAGAGACACCCAACACTCACATGAACACAAACAGCACCTACAGCTTCACTCTGAACCCCTCACTGGCTGATCAGGATGAAGGTCCATTAGTGGGAAACACGTATATATATACAATGCGGATCCCTCCAGCTGGACTTAAGACACTCAGTCTGCCCAGTAGCTGCCCATGGATCTTGGCCTCCCCAGATGCTGGCACCTGGGGGTACCAATCCCTGAAGCCTGCAGCCCTGCTCCAGCTGCTGGTACAGACCCCCTTGCACACATGCACACACACACACATCTCCCCCCAGCTCTATGGCAGTTTGCTGGCTTCCCCCCCAGTCTTACCCTTAGAGACACACACACAGGTCTCATCTGTAGAAACCCCTGGTCTCTCCAGCAGCTGGCCAGGACTCCTCTAGTCCCTCCGGAAGCCAGTTCTTCGCGTGGTCTCACCCTCAGAGAGACACACACCCAGACTCAGCTTTGGCCACCGCAGCTCCTTGCCAGCTCATCCTGCTGTGTATTTGCTTGCTCACCCTCACTCGCAGACATGAGCCTCGGACCCATGGTCCCACTCAGGTGCTGCACTCAGACCCCCATTCACAGACATGCACACAAAACAGCAGGTCCTTCACCCAGGAAAATAGTCAGAAATGGACTTTAGTAAGAAGACAAGGCAGACAGTGCTGATTGGGTGCAGGGCATGGCCACAAGTGTACTGACCAGTCTTTGCTTACATGTGGCTGGCCCTTTTTTATACCCATATCCCTTTATTTT